TAATTTATTTTCTATTTATTTATTCTAAAAATATCTATGCCGACGTCAAGGTTTTGCGCTATAACAGCTCGTTTTCTTGGAGGGCTGAGTGAGTTCTTGGCGCGCCTGTTATGCGCTAATTCCGTTGACCTCTGGGAAGGGCCCTCTCCTCTTCTCCGGAGTATCTATCCGGAGACGTCTCCGACGGAGATAGTCCAATCAAAATGCTTTATGCCTCAAGAGCAAGTTTAAAAAAATGTGTATGTGTGTGTGGGGGGAGGGGGGGGTTTACAGGGGGGGTATGCCACCCTGTTTTAACCAATACTTTGATATTTTGCAGTTAGGCTTGACATTTTCTTGAAAATAATTGATTTGCAACAGTTTTAATGGCTATATGTGTGATCTGCAGGAAACAATAAACCGTTTAACATCCCGAAGCAGTGCATCTGTGTGCTTGAGTGCGTCCCCGAATAGCTCCTGAGTGCTCGCCGGAGACGTCTCCGAATATCTTCTTCCCCTCTCCTGCACCACTCTAATACATGTACTGGGTACAGCCAGTCTCTCTTCAGCGCAAAGTGAGAAAATATAGGCTATTATTTATTATTATTCTTTCCGGAACCTGTCAAGACGGACCAGATATCGCACTGACTTCTTGACCCCCCCCTTGCCGTTTCGTTGTGATGACTTCTTTAGTTTCCGGGTGCGCAAAGACTTAGTTTGCAAACGGGCAGGATTTGTTTTTATTCTTTTTTTTTTTCAGTTCAATGATCTCCGACTCAGAATTGTTCTTTTCCCCAGTTACCCTTTCTCACAGCTCTGCTTTTTACTTGGTTTTATTATTATTTTTTTGTTGAACATGGGAATTCATCAGTCTAAATTTTTAAATTCATTTTTCGAAAGGAACGAAACGATCGTTTCTCTGTACTCAGGAAAAGAAGTTCCAGTAATACTGAAAAGAAGAAGCTCTTACCTTGGACAAATTTGAGGCATGCTGACAAAATGAGTTACTTTTTGCAATCCACAAATGGAGTGGAGATATTGGCCAAAATCGACTCTAGGGTCAAATTTATAGATTTTCTATTTTCTATTCGTTAAGTATAACATGCCTTTTGTTATTTTATACTTATAAATTGTAAATTTTAATACTTCACCTGTAAGTGTGGTGTATCTATTTCCATAGGACTCGAACCCGAGAATTAACTCATTTAATTTGTGAGGCAGCGTGGTGGAATCAGGCTCTCGTCACTTTTTGGGCATGTTGAGTTATTGGTATCATCTTAAAGCTGGTTCAGTTGTCTTGATTTGGATGAAAAAATATCCATTTATCTTGAATACAAGTCGAGATATTTGAAAATAAAGGAGGTGGGGGTCACCTGTTTTCAGAGGTTAAATTAATGAGAAAATGGCCGCCAAAGATTACTTATTTTCTTAGCTTTAGAGTCCGTGGTAACTGGAAATTCAAATTTTTTATGCTTTAATCAACGTTTTTCAGAAAAATCCAAACAGAAATGAGTTCTTAAATGGACATGAAAGGTGTTGAGCCAAAAAACAAAAAAAGTATAAAAATACTCAAACCAGCGGAAAAATGGAAGTTTCTTCACTTTGATTATTTTGACGAGAGCCTGATTCCACCACGCTGCCTCACATTTAGTTTTGTCAGCACTCTTCACAAACTGTCTGCGTACAGCGCTGAATCGTGGTCAATTAGTATTGGCCAACGTGACTAGCGGCTCTGAATTTTGGCTCTGTTGAGATGACTACTCAGGTAATCTTTGGCTTTCGTGATATGCTGATGAATTTAATTACTTTTTAGCCTGACTTTTCAAGTTCTTACAAGTTGAGTTGACAAGATCACTGTCACGAACTGGGATGCTGATAGGGGCGTTCAACCCATACCAACTCACCATTTTCACGAACTAAGATATGATAATTATTGAATTGTAGGGGAAAATGTCGTGTTTTGTTGTTGTTTACTTTGTTCCAGTAACATGTTAAGTTAATATTAGCTAAAAAGAAATAATACGTTTCCGTTATCTTTCTTTAATTTTTGTCTGTCCTGTGTTTTATTAGGCCGCCACTGTTTCACTTGGTGTCTTCTCGGGAAAAGATACGGGCAATAACAGGACTGAAGCTATGATGTTCTGTAGCAATGATCCTTCATTACCGGTTTTCAAGTGAATCCGAACAGGCTGTGATTTGTTGAATTCGTTTCGTAAATAGTTTACCACAGTTATAGAAGTTCGTGTATAAGATGTTACATAAGGCGTGTAATAACAACAACAGCAACAACAACAACAACAACAACAACAACAAAAACAGCAACAACAACAACAAAAACAGCAACAACAACAACAACAACAACTACAGTAAAAAGGATGCTAGCTATCTTTTATAGAATCATGACAAACTGCAGTACGTATGATCCCAGTTTTAATCTCCAAGGGACGTTCTCAAACTTTAGTCTTTGGAGTTTTCAGACCCCGCCCCGCCCCCAACCCCTCCGCCACAT